GATAGTAACCAATCATAAAATAAATCTATATTGTATATATGCATTATCTGCAACAGCATCACATGTGTATGTTGTGTGTGTGTGTGTGTGTACAAATGCACGGCCGCAATTTTCAACAGATTTGCACCAAAATTTACATGCACATGCTCCAAGTTAGCGGGAAGGCCAAGACCATTTTTGCATTTCCCAACTCCCATCAATAGTGGAAATAATCAATTTTTTCATGCTTCTACAGCAGTTTTCATGTAGTTTGCAGCCATTTTCTACTGGCCAGAGTGAGAGCCTATAGCTGGCTGCCATGAATAGGCAGGAAGATTCTATTGGCCAGCGTGAGAGCCAACAGCTGACTGACACGAATGTTAACTAGCATGCTAAAAAAAAAAAAAATCGATAGCTGCATTCGTCACAAGTGGGAAAAATTTAAATCTGCATGGCACTTTACTCCAATTGGCTTATTCGCTTGCTTAAACTCAACGTTGATTCTGATTCCGCAGAACTGGGTTGGGTGTGAAAAAGTATTTGTTGTTAACATTCTTTTTCATTCGGTTTTTTCAGTTACGAGTCCTTTTTTTAAGCTGATCGTTTTGTGTTCATTTTGTTTAGTTCTTTTTTTTTCGTAACAGATTTAATGTTTAGTATAGAGCTTAGAAAAAATTCGCAGTGTGAGATAGGCAAGAAGTAAGGCATGTAGCAACATCAGCACGGCAAAGGGCACTCCTTTAAAGGCAAGGAAGGGCAAAAATATTTTAAGTCAAGTGATAGCGATTGTTGTACGAGTCGTACGATTTTTGAATCAAGCACAGGCAACGCTGGGCCATGCTGCTAGTATATATATATATATAAATTTATGCTATTTTGAATTTTCATAATAAATCAGAATTTTGGGTCATGATATCATTAGTTTAATAGTATTTTTCCTTAAAATACAAAATGCTAAATATAAGAAACAATTCAAATGTCATTTTGAAACAACAAAACAAAACTATTTATTGGGGAATAAATTAAATGATTTTTAAATTGAAATTTTTCCTGATTGCTTAATAAGAAAAAATCCTTTACATTCATTTTTCTTTCTTTTTAAAAATATAATTTGATGAAAATTTTTTTTATGTTATTTTCAAATATTTACCATTTTCCAACAAAAAAAAAGATGACTTAAAATAATTCCACATTCAAAATTTTAAATTCATTTAACAATTTATCTTTTATCAAAAAATTTTTGGAATTTTAATGCTTTGAATGTTAAAAAATGAAATTTATAAAAATTTATAATAAAAGTTCTTATTGAAATTATAAATATTTGGAACCACTTTGACAGTGTCCATATGTTATAACATCAATTTTTTTTCTATTTATCTAATAGTGTTAATCGTAATTCTAAAACATTTGATAGAAATGACTGACAGATTTTATGAATATTTTTTTTTTGTTCCAATTTATTTTTCTTTTTGAGATCTTTTAAAATTTTGATTTGTTTTTTACCAAAATCAACATCTCAATGGGGATAAGATAAATTGAACAAAATGCTCATTGTTGGTTTAAATTTTTTTTTCTCAAATCTATTTCAAAAATATTTTTTGTTTCTGTCATTTTTATTTCTGGTAATATAAGTTTTTTTTTTTAAAAGGAAAAAAGTTTTGTCTTAAAAATGATTTTTTTCACTTTCATAGTGACATTGAAAATAACTATTTGCCCATAGCTATTTTAAAACATTAAATACCAACCCGGTCAAAATGGACCTTTGTTCTGATAACAATTAATTAAATTATGATTTTATTTTCAAATTTCCAGAAGAGACCTTGCAGAATGGAAGATTTAAAGTGGTTAACAAAAAAAAATGAATTTGTCATCAGACCCAAACAATTGAGATCTCAAAATTTTCTTTTTGAAATACTAATATATTATTATTCACTTTATTGATTATTCAAAAAAAATTCTTCTCTTTTTTTTTTTGGAACTTTCTTCTTAAATCTGAATTTGTCAACTATAATATTTTTTTAAGAATTTATGAACATTGAGAAATGAGGTCTGAAATTATTGAAAAAAAAAGATTATATAACAACTGATCCTCTTAAAAGATTAAATTATACAATTTATTTTAAATAAATAAAATGACAGATTATAAAAAGAAAATGTGTGACAAATTATAATTGATAAAATAATACATTTTAATGATGATTAGCTGAAAATTTATTTCTTTCTTTAAATATAAATATAATTGAAAATAAATTTTTCATTTTTTATTAATCAATTTTTAATAGAATTAATTATTGTAATGAATGAATCCATTTTTAATTTGCAAAAAAATATATTTCATTTTTATGAAAACACCAAAATATATATATATAAAAAATTGGTGTTTTATGAAGAATGAGGTTGAATTGCAACTCCCTTTTCAGGACTGAAAAACTAGTTTTTATATATAAAAAAAAAATTATATATAAAAAAAGTATGTTCTCAATGTAAAAAATTTTTTATACTTTATAAATGAGATATATTAAAATTGATTATATTTAGATAATTTATATTAAAATATTTTTTTAAATTTTATTTTAAAAGAAAAAAATAAAATTAAGAAAAAATAAATTATTTTTTTTTTTTTAAAAAAAATTTAAATAAAATTCCTTATTTAAAAAAAAAAAAAAACCATACCAAGTTATATTTTTAAAAAATTAAAATTAAAATTAAATTATCCATTTTTAACTGTTCAGATATTTTTAAATTAGTTATATATTTAAAAAAAAAAAAAAAAATATAAGTTATTAAAAAAAAAAAAAAATAGATAAAAACACTGTTTTTTCAAGTTCTTTGAAAAGAGTGTTTTTTTTAATAAAAACAATTATAAAATATAATTAATATGGTGAAGAAATGAAATATAAAAAAATATTTTTACATTTAAAATTGTTAAATGAAATTGAAAAAAAATAAAGGAAAAATATATATTTTAATTTTTTAAATTTGCTTTGAGCATATAGACATTTAAAAATAATTCATTCTTAGATTTCTAAAAATGTTTTATTTTGAATTTTATTTTCTAATTTTTTTCTTCTAAAAAATTTTACATCTATCTCTAAACTTTTATATGAATTTAAATGTAATTTCATATTCATATCTAAAAATTTTTTTCAAACTTTCTTTCAATTCACAAAATTTTAAATTAATATTTCATTCTTCATATTTGATTAAAATTAATATTTTGTAAAATTTAATATTCAAGTTTTAATTTTAAAAACTTAGCTTCCCTTTAAGACAAATACTGTTCCCACCTTGAAAGTGACCTGTCTTTGCCTTTTCTGACTGAAACATTGAAATGGATAAATTTGTGTTTGTTTTTTTTTTATGCTTAGAATTTAATTTCTGATTTTTGACATAAAAAGTAAATCCACATTTTTTCTTGCAAGATAGACGACCAATATCTTTTTGTAAAAACTATTCCGTATGTTAGGTGATTTTGAAAATTTTATTTATATTGAGTTATTTGTTCTGTGATAATAAATACATTGAGCTTTTTTTTAAATTCATTTTTAACATTTTATATTACTAGGATTTTATACTAATAGATTTGTTACCTTTACTATATTTTTAATTCAAATAAGAACATTTGAAAATATGTCAAAATCAATACACAATTGCATTGTGTTTTTGTGTTTCAATGCATCTCTCAGGCAATTTGTAATTTTTAGGCATGTTTAATTGAAGCAATGATTTAAAATCTTTAAAAGTTTTTGATCTCTTTTCATGAAAAAAAAAAAGTAAACAGGGGGATGGTTATAAGGTTTGTGGGCTTTACTCAGATCAACCAATTGTATATAACAGATGTTAATGTAAATGGATACATATACATTAGACAATATCATTTCCTAAAAAGATTGAGTGAAAATTGAACAGAATGCAACACAAATTATATGCTTTGTGAGTTTCCTACAAAAAAAAAAAAAAACAAAAAAAAAATAGTTGATAAATTAAAAGCTTCAAGAAACCAGTAAATAATTTAAATATATATCAACTATAAAATATAAAATATATATATATATATATATATATGATAAAAAAATACCAATTTGTATTTATTAGGTCATCATAAAGTATCATCAATCATTAAATTTATATGCTTGCAAAATCCCCAAAAATATACAGAAATTTTTTTTGATCACAAATATTCTGTTACTCCAGTTGCAAACATGATTTCAGACAAAGATTCTTATGACATTTACCATATCTGAACAATTTTCAGATGTTTTTTTCCATAAAACATTAGAATTTAATAAACTTGTAATAAATGTACAAAAAGAAATTTAAGCTAAACCACATTTGGAACTGGAATTAAGTTCCAGTAACACTTGATTCCAGAAGACCGATATCTTTGTCTGCCAAAAAAGGCTATTCCCTATATGAGGTGATTTTGAAATTTATTGTTTATTATTTATTTGCTCTGTGATAATAAATACACTGAGCTCTTTTTCTGGATCATTTTTAACATTTTATATTACTATATAATTCCAGTAATTCCAGTATAATTTATATTCCAGTAACACATGGAGGTATGATGGAGTAATGGATAGTGGCTTAGATTGTGGAATCAGAAAGCAGAATTCAAATTCCAGTCAAATCCATTACATTCACTTACATGCTAATACCCTTGGGAAAAGATATGAATTCTCTTCTCCCCTCAGCTATGGGTAAAAAGCAGCCAAGTTCTATAGCCTTGGATGGCAACTGGTCTACTGCAGAAAGAAATAGTAACGTACTGTGTGAAAAAATCTGCCTTGTCAGTCATGTATCAAAAAATACATGATCACCTAAGTGTGTATCACACATGACACATAACTGACTGAACACTTGATATACCAAATAATAATTGTTATATTCCCTGATGAAATGTTCCAAAGGGATCTTGCATACCACTGAATATAATAATATCAATTATTTTTCTGGTATTGTTTTAAAGAATTAAAGATTGTGATGATCTGTAAAACAGTTATAAATAAATTTTTAGAAAATTACTTACGTTTATAAAAGTGAAAGCATATAGCAACGATAACTCCAATTCCTATGATAACTCCTCCAATATAATAGAGGTCTGAAACAAACAACAGTATTATAAATTTCATTAATAATTTTATGGCATGTCCACATTTATATGAATAACTTCTTTCTAAATTAACAGTAATAATAAAGAAGAAATGATAAAATGAATAAATCTATTAACTTCATTCAGAGCCATCTGAGACACAATCAACTTAGGCAAATAAAAATTTTATAAGTTAAAACCTATGTAAAACAGTGAAATGAACAAATCAACATGCGTGAAAGGATGAACATATTAACAGAAATTACTTTTTGTTGGCAGACTTAAACAACTCATTTGAACATGATGCAACAGAAATAAAAAAAAATACTTTGAAATTGTTGTATTGCTAGAATACACCTTCGTCAAGTAAACATGTCTTCCAGCAAAAAGGTTTTGCATGGATTTTGAATTATAACTGTTTTGATGAGAAAACTTGAATGATTTTATTTCAGAGAAAAGCCTCTTTGATTTGCATAAGAGAGAGTTTCCAATCGGCTGAAAAAGCATTCTCTTAAATATAAATGTTTTTGCATCTGCAAACCAAAGTTATGCAGTGAACCATATGCACAAAGAGGATATTTGCTGCATTATTTTCCAGTCAAGGCTTGCACATATGCTACACATCTTTACAGGATTTTATAATAATTCAATGTAATTTCAAGCAATTTTATTGTTTTAATGCCAGGATGTAACATGCTTTCCTAAAACTATTGATGGGTGTTGGCAAATCAAATTTTAACCCCACAAAGGTTTCAAATTCGTCAATAGGTTAAAGTAAAAAAAAAAAATTTATAACGCGCTACAACCACTGGATTAAATGGTTTCAAGCCAAAATCTTATTCTACACTTTTTCTGCAAACCATGTAATACTCAACAGTGATATATTTCAGAAAAATTGGTGGTTTATCTGAAATATAATGCCACTACATTTTGATGCAACTCAATATTTTAAAAGAAAAACAAAAATTGCTGTAAGAAAATGCAATCTATAACAAGCTATGAGTGATCACTAACATTAAGTTTAAAGACAAAAGAAATTAAAATGTGTAAAAATTAATTAGCAATAAATCTCTTAGATAATTTTTTTCTAAATTTTTCAGATGAGGAGTTATCATTATTTATACCATTCATTTGGACTTTTGTCCTCACCTTTGTAGTTTTTCGTTTCAGCTGTTGTACACTTTGGCCTTCCTCAGGTGTATATTAATATACACCTGAGGAGAAGGCCAGAATGTTGTGATAAAAACAAAGATGAGGACAATAGTCCCAATATAAATAGAAATAAAATAAAACTTTTAGAATTTAAAACTTATGCATTCATAAAATGGTAAATTGTTTTTAGCAGATGTTAGGATAAATGAGGGTACAATCAAGAAAGTTTAAAAGTAAAGACCATTAATGTAAAATGGTATTTGTTCTTACATGTTATGGTCAATTTCAAAGTCGCTGTCACTTTTTCATTATTTTGCTGAACTGTACACCGGATGGTTCCAGTTTTTGATGATGGTTCCAGATACCCAGAAAGATATTTTAAAAAGGGAATATGGCAAGGCTTTGATGTCAACCTTTTGATTTCAAGTGGTTTCTGAAATTAAAAAAAGAAAATCATTAAAATAAAGAAAATCTTTATTACATTATAGTAATTGGTGTCACTAATGATATTAATTCCTAATCAGCAACAGTCACTTTAAGTGTTGATTTTCAATACATTTCAATAGTAAAAATCATTAACAATGGTTTTATGTTATACATATAAACCTATTACATCAGTCAAGTCTGTAGAGTAAAATAATTTACATTTTTGTGAAATAAAATCATTAGCAGTTAACTTACATTATATAAAAACATCTATGGTTTTGATACTTGTGCAAAATTTTAAACAAATATTTCAGTGACGTATCAAAATAATTTTTCTGCTACCAGAAAATATTTACTTTTCTACACAAATTTGAGGAGTAGTGGTAAAGTGAATGGGAAGCAATAAAAAAAAATAAAATAAAAAGTCTAAGCATTGCCTACTACATAATCTGGTAATAAACTATAACCAGAATTACTTTTCATTCCTCTAAACTTCCAGCAAAAATAGCTTACATTATGAAACTTAATGAAAAGAATTAATTCTTTGATGTATTTGTTTAATCATTTTGAGCTGTTATGTCTCTAATCATAAAAATAAATGAATATTTGGACTTGTTTAATAAATTGTACTCATGATATCATACACTTAATACAAGTAATTGTATATGAAATGTCCACAATAGCGCAAGTCTTGTGAAGATTACTCAAGTAGGGAGAGCAAGAAATCTGTTTTGATTGGAACTTTGCAAATGTATGAATGTCGTCAAAATGTGTCTATTAAAAGATTTCCCAAGTTCACCTGATCCCACTATTGATAAGAATAAATTTATATTTCAGTGCTATTGAAAAACAACCATTTTGATTTTGACAAGGACAAAATATGACCAAGAATAACTTACATCATTTAACAGGCATGTAACATTAAATGGAAATGAGGAGCAAGAAGTCTTTATTCGGTAATGTAAATTCTCTTCGGTTATCTCTATATCAAGCATTGGATTATCTGAAAGAAAACATTTCAGAGGTAAAAAAACTAAGTTTCAACTAAGCCATAGAAATCATATTTACAAGGATAGATCAATTAGTTCATTACTTAACATGTATTGATAGAAATTTGGTCTAAAATATTCATCATATAATGTCAAACTATAGATTAAAACCTCAAGTGCATTAACAAAGTAAATTATGTGGAAAGATTTGTTGCACAAAATAACTTCATTATTAGGCTTAAAAATTATAAATACCTGTGAATGTGTGTGTGCATACAGTATACACACAAATGACTAAAAGTACTATTACAAGTTTCACACAAGTAATGGCAATTGTCAGGCAATGAAAATAATGACCGAGTCCCATAAATACACATGCACACCAGTCATACCATTCACTGCTAAAACAAGATTATTTTCATGCCTGCATTTGGTCATTACCTCAGATCTCACCAACAATCTGCTCTTATCAAGGAATGCATTATTTCATCTCTTCAGATACAAAATAAATCTTTCAGAACCTTCCTCAAAAGGAAAAGTTCCTTCGACTCCAACACAAATTTCCATCTAAGGTACTCATTCACACTTGTCCTTATTCCCACATATATATTTTAAAACGGTCTTTTCTTTTTGTAATACCTCCTCTAAAGAGGAGATCTTATGATTGAAAGTTTTGTGCTTTCATATCCCTGAGTAACTCCAATATGTGAGTACGAGCTGAAAAGTTCATAGGCTGACTATGAAGGAGTGATGCTAGAGCTTTGAAATCCTGCATGCATTAATTTCAACTCTTTTTATTAATAACTGCATTGTTTCTTTCCAGGTAAACTGACAAACTTCAAAAGTAACTGGTAATGACTTCTCTTGAAAAACATTCATCCTTTTTCGACAAAAAAGTCGAATACAAAGTTATCATCATTGCGATACTGGTTACCAGCCAAGTGCTTTTTCATATTGTGGAACAGATGATAGTTAAATCATGAAAATAAGGAAAGTGACCAACCAGTTCAAAGCCACAGTCACACACACCAGCCACTGAAACTAAGAACTCATGTGCTGGATCACTGTCCTACTAAAACAAGACACTTTTTTTCATTTTTCCTGAGCGTTTGGTCAGGAGAACTGTTCATAATTGCCTCAGCAAGTTGGCATAGTACTCTCCGTTGATGGTGTGTCCCTCTTGAAGATAAGTCAATAAACACAATGCATTTTACATCACAAAACCTGAGGCAATCACCTTTCCTGCAGATGAAATGATTTTGGCCTTCTTTGGAGCAGGTGAGAAGAGGTGTTTCATTGTCTCTTGTTTAAAATGATGAACCCAAAATTCATCCTAAACATTCAAGGAAACCAGCTGAATCTATTGAAAACAATGCCAGATTTTCCTTCCTGTGATGTGATCAGATTGGTGGGCTTTTGATCAAATACTAGATGTGTGTAATAGATGTGACAGTGACTTACCAGGAGCAAAACGAATTCGCTGCCTCGTGTGTCAAACCATTCTCTGATAGTCATCATGCGCCCTGAGCCATTTTTTATACAGCAGACTTATTTGCATAAGAGAACAACGCTACCTATTAAAAACCAGGCAAGTGGACGTGGCGGGGACTGCTCTTCTATGTTTCGGTGAGACTAGACGTATTGCTGAAAGAAAGCGACATCAATTTCTGGACATCTGACAATGTGACACCCATCAAACAAATTTCATCATGCCAAAGTTCATTGTGCAGAATATTCTCAATCCACTCACCGGATGTGCTAATAGAATTGGCTATTTTATTTATAGTTAACTGCCGGTCATCCATCATCATATGGTGAACATGATCAATGTTTTTCTCAGTTGTCAAAACAAAAATTTAATCTTTTTGCTTTAACCTCTCTATTTCCTATCACACATGGTGACACGGAAGATGTACGGTTTGTCATTTCAGAAAGCCAAATTTTATGAATGAGACTTTAAAAAATTTTATTTTCTTGTTTTAATAACTTTTATATATTATTACTGTTGTAGCATACCTACGGATGATAGTGGGTATGCCCCCATTCTCATAAATACAGTAGTGAATACTGTATGTTGGTCTGCAGTTGGAGTTTCATTGTGGAATTCACTTGACTCACTTCTAGCAATTGACTACTTCTATGTGCTGCTGGCAAATCTGTTGTCCTAAATATTATTGTTCATTACCAACCTTTGTGTGATTATTTTGTTCAGTAACCTTCCCTAGGTTACAACAATTACACTTTCTCACCAAATATTATAATGAAGCAAAAACAGAATCCTATACTGAAAGTAGAATTAAGTAAAATCAGTCCCTCTCTACAATATACATAAACACACACACATATATAAATAAAATTCAATTCAAAAGCAAAGCAACTCTAAGTAATAAAGTGAAATATTTACAAAATAGTGTTCACATGGAAAAAGGATAAAAGCCAAGTGGTCATATCCTTCTGAATTCACGGCAAGAAACATTTTTATTGGTTGAGAAAAATTCCCAGTATGTATCTATGGAATTTGCCTATAAATCTGTGGAGGGGAGGTTTTTAACAGTCATTCCCATCAATTTTAACGAACAAAAAAAAAACAAAAAAAAAAACAAACAAAAAAAACTAAACTAAACTTACCTGTTATGTTAAGCTTAACAGTTTCAGAAAGACTTCTATGAAGATCGGAACATACCCACGTCGATAATGATTTATTTACATGGTTTATAATTAATGTTATATTATTTCTAACTCTTGATAGGTGATATCCTGTGTAATTACCACAAGATGATTCTGATGTACATCTTAATGGTGTTTTCATGACATTGTCAACATTCCGCCACTCTAAAATCCGTATACTGCGTGGAAAAAGGCAACTCAGTTTTGCTGGTGTGCCCTCAATATAAGTAGACGAGTTGACACTTAATATAATCTCTGGAAAGAAAAAATAAATAAACAAAAGACAAGAATTAGATGAGCACAAGAGAGAGAAAAAATAAATAAATAAATAAAAAAAAAAAATAATGTCTAATCAGATTTTATAACAGTGTTTCTACTTATTTTTTTCTTATTTCTTGAAACTGATCAGTCAATGAGAAAAAGTGAAATTACTTTCACACATAAGAAATTGGTACTTTACATCAACAAGCAACAGTTCCATGAAAAATAGACAAAGAAAATGTTGGATTGATCAAAATATAATGTTTTTGCTGTTTTGCACCCTTCCATAAACTTTGGTAGTCAGATCTTCTGATGCAAGGCAATATTTCCACAATAAAATTTGTCAAATATTCAAAACAGATTCATATGAACAATATGTTATTTGAGTTTTTGGGTTATAATACTACATTTATTAAAAATATTGATAATTTCTTTAGAAGGTTTCAGATTTTCTAATGTAAATAAACAACATAAATTTTATTCATGACTGAATCTTATGCTATAAAAACATTTAATTAACAATATTCCATATACATGAATACATTGTTATTTAATATCTTAATATAAGCCCCTTGACATTCTATTACCTTCATCAAAACTTCAACTGTCATTAATTTTATTAACTTTTCCACAGTTTTCATTTAGCTTTATTTGCAACAGCTTTTACTGCATCCTCAAATTCTTTACTTGAATATTGTTTTCCATTCTTTTTTAATGATTATGCATTTTATTGGATCAATATCTCGAAGTTAAATTTGAGGTTTTGAAATCTTTCTCTTTTTGGCAGGGTAGGCAACAGCTAGTTTTGCAGAATGTGAAGAAGCATTGTCTTACATGAATATACCCTTTAGTTTATTCATTGTGACCTGTACCACTAAAAAAGAAAAAAGAATATCTATATTTAACATGAGTTCATCATCAACTCTGAAGAAACAAATAATTTTAGCAAGAATACAGTTAAGGGAAGCAACTTTTTCTTCTTTAATTACTACACACCATTGCACAATTGTTTTGTATGTTACTGTTTCAATATATATTTTATTGTTGATGCACAATTGGAATCTCGTTGTTTTTTTCTTGAATTGTTAAATGTATAATAGATAAATGCTCTTAGAACATGCAATTACACTTGATAACCTCAACGCATAAACCAAAGCAGCATTTACAAAGTTACCCAACTTGGTGAACACAACATTTATCCAAAAAATGTATATAGCTTACAGGCAAGTCATGTTGAAAGAAATTTTTATCCAACTACTAAATTTAAGCAGTATTTTAATTTCATTTGTTTTATATTATCTTACTAATATTAGTAGTAATAATATCTTTGATTTTTTATTATGTTAAGTATTGTCAAATATTATGAATTCTCAACTAATATTTGTCATCAGACTGTAATTTTATTAGTAGAAAGTGTGAAGAAGATGAAAGAAATATAAATTAAAAATTATTAACAAATAGTATCTAATAAAAAAAAATTCTTGTACCATATGGAACCAAAATTTAATGACTAGTAAGGGTAGATAACTCATGTCTATTATGAATAGATAACTCAGAAGTCGAGGAAATAGATTTTTTTCATGAGTATAAAGTTCAATTTCTGATGATTGTTTCTACTTTCTTCTTCCTGTCATCCAAACTTGGCTCATAATTCAAAAGCATCTTAATGTAGCCATTTGGCAATGCAGTTCTTGTAAACCAATCAAAGAATCTAAAAAGTCAAATATAGAAAAAATTCAGATTAAATATCTGCATGCAGACCCTATAAAAGATTATTCTTTTATGTTTATATATATTGTAATTTTCTCACCACTATTGTCATAGAAGAGCTGCCTGAGATATTTGTCCCGTCTTTGTAGTATCTTTTTTTCTATTATAAGCATTCGCATTTTTTTTTTTAGATTTTATACATCCTGTCAACCAGCATGTTTTCTGTACTATTATTTATCTTTTTATGCATGCCTGCAATGTCTAGATTCTGTAGTGTTTCTTATCTGCACACTTTTCATTGAGCCATTCATCTTTTGTTTGCTTGCATTTCTTTCTTATGTACTCTGTTTAGCATCTTATATTCTCTACCATTTATTGCATTACTGCTGTTGCTTTTTCATGAGTTTGAGAACTATCTGCAACCCAATTCTTTTAGGATGACCTCTTTTTGCCACTATCACCAGTGCTTCCCTTAAGGTGTTCTATTTTACGTTACTGACATCTCCCTCCTAAACTTTTGTTTTTAACAACTTCAGCATACACCTATTAGCAAATATAGTCCTTTGTATTTTAATTTAGGTATTGTTTCGGGTTTATTTAATTTCCATAATTTTATCCTTATTTTGCATTATGACATGGAGGTAGGCACCGGGGTATGTTTTAAAAGGGTAGAAATAACTGCAGTTTTAATTTTTTTGCCAAGTGTTAATGAAAGCATTTAAGAGGTTAAATTAAAAAGAAAGTAGTTCAAGGAAGTTAAAAATTAAGTAAACATACGTTCTGCTGAAATTAAGGTTACAAACAGCAAAAACAGCAGAGCAAATCTGAAAAAGAAATTGAAAAATATTTACTAAATAGAAAAAAACATTGAAATCAGCATTTAAGCACAAGTAAAAATAGAAAATTTTTACTTAATGTATAACTCCTGATTTTTCTATGAAATATTTCATTTTCACAATCTTTTGCATAATATAATCATTATATAATAAATATATTTTTGAGTTTTCCATCATTCTTTATAATCAACATTTCATGTGACAGAATGTGTTCCAGAATTAACCTTTAAAAACATAATGACTGACCTATTAAAAAAAAAAAAAAAGAGAAAAATAATTAGTTTACAAAAAAATGAAATATTGATTTTTTTTTTATTACTATGGATCACCATACTTACAAAGAGAAGCAATTCAATCTGGAGCTGTCAAAAGGAATTTGTGTCAGTCAATAATACAGATATCACCTGACCCACCCAAATTGATGCTTGACACATATTGACTAAAGTAACTCCTTCCCACCGTTATAAAAATACATTTTTTAACCTAAGAAAACCTGAACTCATTTACAAAATTGAAACCGCTTTGTCATTTTTACCACCGTAATTTTACAGGTGCTTTACACTCAGGTAAATCAATTATTTGTCCATATTTAGTCACCAAATTAGTATCTTAAATGAAACTACAGATATCATAGGATTGATACCAATAAGGTGTGGCATAAATGTTTGCTACACAAGCGCTCTCCAGCTATGGAATCAATGGAAGGGTTTTCTCTATTATAAAATCCTTTGTAACAGGTAGATCCCTGAAGGTAGTCCTCAGAGGCCCTGATGGTCAACACAGGCATCCACCAGGGGTCATTTCTCAGAGCAACCCTCTTTATGTTTTATATAAATGATCTACCTAAGGATATACTCTGATCATTTGTAAACTTCTATGCTGATAATACGAGTGCAGCTCTAAAGGTCTTGATCAGAGATTGGCAACTGCCCTCTCTTCCAATCTAGGAATGGGGAAAAAATTGGCTGGTTACATTTAATGCCTCCAAAACCAAACTGGTTACATTCCATCACCGCTGATAAACCCTGAACTACCACCAGTCATAATTAACAGATGCCCCCTTGAGGAGGCCCTGTGCTATGAGAGGGTATTGGGACTAAAACTCACACCCAACATCAAGTGGAATTCCTATATACAATCTATTGCTAAAGATGCAGATAAAAATGATTGACTCCTGGTACCGCTCCAGTAAGTACCTGACTCTTCATGCTATCCTCTACCTTTATAAGAGCACAGATCAGTCTGAAAATGGAGCACTGTTGCTATATTCAGACAAAAGCTGCCAAGATCTCACTTTCTAGTCTTGATAAAATTTAAAAGCATCTCAGAGTCTTTGTTGGAGAAGAATTATTTTCCACATTCCATCCTCACAGGCAGGATGTGGTGTGTCTCTCACTGCTCTGTCATTACTACCATGGAAAATGATAAGATGAACTGCATCTCCTAGTTCCACCTGGTCTGACTCAAGACTAGGACTTGACATGCCACCCACATTCCCTCCATATCCCATTGGTGAAAAGTTCCACTCAAACAGCTTCTTCCTGCGAGCCACTTTTCTATGGAACAGACTCCCTAGAGAATGTTTCCCTTAATCACTACAATCTTAAGTCAACCGTTATCTTCATCTCATATATATATATATATATATATATATATATATATAAAAACCACCACTTATCAAAACCCTCTACCTCAAGGTACAATGTGAATTGTAAAAAAAATTAAAAATTATATATAAAAGACACTCATGTTAATTCAATTAATTTTTTCTCGTTTAAAGTCCTCATAGAACATTAGATAAATATCAATATCTGTCAAATATGCCTTAAATAAACAGCTACTGTTTGGTTTCAAAAACAAATTAATTATACTTTAAAATCAGCTAATATTCTACAAAAAAAGTTTCTGAAAAGTACATCTTATTTTTGGAAGATTTTGTAATAAAGATTACATTGCAATGAAAGACAACTAAAAAAGGTCTGTTATCAGCTATTTTAGCAAAAAAATCCTTTTTGATTTATGATTAGTAAATATTGTCTTTACTTAAAAACAATATTACTTAACGCGGTTAAAGTAAGGCAGAAATTTAAAAGATTTGAAAGTATAATTTATTCTAATTAAAAATAATTTTACGAGCAAAACATTAGTGTTCCAAAATTTTTAAATGTTACAATAGGTACCACTGAAATGAAATCAAAAAGAACCACTATCCACTTTTTAAAAAAATTGACAAAATGAAGGAATTAACCGACTCAAACAAAATTTTTACTGTTTTTTTTTTTTTTTTGTATGGATTTATGAGTCAGCCATGTTTACTATAGTTTTTTTATTTTTATTTATACAAAGGAAAGTAATTATCTCCCTTTGACTGTCATTCAGATCATTACAGCACAGGCTGTACCTAATTTTTGCCAATTTAAATGAAAAATTTCCTTTCGTAGTCCTTTCTCTCCAACTTTAAGTGTTTATTTTTCTTCGCAAGACACAAATTTGCATGCTTATATCTGCCGTTAAAGTAAAAAAAAAAAAAAAATCTGTAAGAATTCACCTTTCCTTTTATATTTTGAATTAATATTTCTTGAGACATTCATTTAACATTTTCGTTGACACGAAATGGACACGATTTTAAAGTTTAAAAAAAAAATTGCAAAAATTTAGGGAGTTATACGATTCAAATGAAATTCTTATTATGAATTAATTTTTATTTTATTTTTAAGTACCAACATGTATGCTTTTTCCGAAATGGAAAAATCGCTACTCCGTTTAAAAAAATATTTGCCTAAAATCTGGGAATTATCCGATTTAAACGAAATATTCAGTATTTTTATTCATTCATTTTTATTTATTTATTTACTGAATCAGCTTTCTTTATAAAGAATTTGGACGGAGATATTTTGGTACACTCTCTTTCGATATCACGTGTGTACTTTTAATTTAGGGGACGGATCGTAAATGTTTTTTTAGTTATAGAAAACAAAAATTCCTAAAAGATATTGTTTCAGTAATAAAAAATAAAAAAACAACAAAAAAAAACATTGTTCAAGGAGGTTCTACGATCATTAGTGATGGTTGGATCGCTTATACTGGGCTACATGATCACAATGTTATAAATTCATGAAAATAATTTTGTTGATTTAAAAATGAATCTTTTTAGTTCAATAGGGAATAGCTAGCTTCATCTAAAAGTGTTTTCTCAGCGAAAAAAGGTATCAAGTATCTGCACAAATAGGAATCGGTCAAGGTAGCTTAAACATCCGTGTGTCTGTCTACCATGCCAATCATCACAGTCCTGTTTGGAAGGTCATTAAGGTGGCATTAAGGTGTCATAATATAGCTGGTTAGTGAAGGCAGCTGCTGAGTGACCAACCAGTCTTTTGCCATGACAAGCTGTCCAGAGCAGTATCCTTCTCAAGTTATTGCTTTGCTTGCCAGCAACATCCTGCAAAGTGCATTCTACATTCATGTAAGATTGTAGAAATATCAGGGATGTGCCCATAGAGCTGTGATTTAGTTGGATGTTGTCTTCAAGAGATGGTCAGTATAGCTCTCAACATCTGAGTATAGGTTGCATCAAACTTAGATGTAAGTGTTTTAGTTAATATCCAAGCAGTGGCACCATACATTAAAACATAAAAGAAGCTTCATTTGAGGTTGTCTGGTAGGTCAGACTTCCAGATTTCATCCATTTTATGCAAAATTTCACATCCTTTTCAGTAGAATTTATTTTACTTCCTAGGTATGTAAAATATTTGACAGATTTTATATATTCTCTAGAGACAGTTTATATTTAAACTTTTAGAGGCATTGACAGAGTTCAACATCATTTGCAACATTTTCTAAATGTGACATGGGTCACGGTTTCTGCAGTCATATCTAGGTCATCTGCATAGTCACTAACCGTTAACTTTTTAGCAGGATACCGACTTGATAGTCTTCGTGATATAAAGTTAAACCTAGAATGATGTTTGTAGAATGAAGTTCTCAATATGTAAGTCAAGGGTGATAAAAGGTGCAAAAAAAAAAAAAAAAAAAAGTATCAACCTGAGGAACATCTGCTTTAATATTGAAGAAGCTAGTAGTGTCTCCGTATTTAAAAAAAATTCTAAAAATATATTAAAAACAAACGATATATAAATTTTAACACATGATTTATGATCCGGATTCTAAACTTTTACCAACTATTTTTGGTATGGATGTACAACAAATAGGACATCATTCTGATATCTTGTTTTGTTTGACTGGCCATTCAATTTTGAAAGAGTATGAATTAGAAATCTAATAATTTCATATCTCCCATTCAGTCAGTTATTTTTATGCAAGCATGAATTCTTGAAAAAAAAAAAAAAATTTTTTGAGTTCTATTTATCTTTGGTAATATATTGGCTGAATTTTCTGTGTTCACATTTGATCTTACATAATTTTTTTTTACTGAAATTGTGAAATATCTTCAGGGATTTCTTTATAAAGCAATTAGAAAAATAAATAAAATAAAACAAAACACGAACACATCTCTCCCTAAATTAAAAAGTACACAGAGATATCGAAAAGGAATTTAGGAAAATTCGGTAACTATGAAATAAAAAGTCAATTGAAAATTGATTTTCAAGTAGTTCTAGAATAAAGATTTAGGGGGCAAAGCCCTCTTCCCTATATTTTTAAATAACTGAAAATAGTGGAGTCCAGATAAAACTCAATTACAATACCAAAGTCAAACTTGCAGAAGTGGGGGTGCGGACTTAACAGGCTAGACACCCTTCCCCAATATTTTAAAAAAGTAACTTGAATTCCAGTCGAACCATTTACATTATTCACTTACATGCTAATATCCTTAGGAAAGGTATGAATTGTCTTCTCCCCCCAGCTCGAGTTCTATAGCCTTGGATAGCAACTGGTCTACCGCAGAAAGAAATGGTAACGTACTGCAGGAAAAATCTGTCTCGTCAGTCATGTATTGAAAGATACATGATCGCCTACGCGTATATCATGCAAACAGCAAACTGACTGATTAACTATGGGGGGGGGCGGGGTCTAGATAAAACCCCACTGCAACAATACCAAGCCGTGCTTTCTGGATGGAGGGAAGGGGGCTAACCCCTCTCCAATATTTTTAAGTAAATTACTATTGTTTTCAAGCAAATAAAATCGATTTATCTAAGTTATTGTATCTTCTTTTCAAATTATTTCTAAAAAGTAAATAAATAATTAAGTTTTTAATTCTTTTTAAAGCAGCAAAGACCATATAGCCACATTTCTATTTTAAAAATATAAGGGAGGGAGTTTAGTTTTGAGTTTCCCTCAAACCCCAACTCCAGAACGACCCTAGACTAAAAAAAAAAAAAAAAAAAAAAAAAAAATCAATTTTTAATCGACTTTCATTGTTACCGAATTTTCCGTTACCGAATATTGCGGTCACCATCGAAAAGGCGCGTGAAACATTCCCGGAAAAAATTTCCCCAATGTTTTTATTATTATTTAAAAAAAAAAAAAAAAAAAAATAATCAGTAAGTACTCAAAATTTCTTTTGAATCTGATAATTTAATTTCCCAATTTTAGGCAAATGTTTTAAAACCGGGAGTAGCGATTTTTTTGCTTTCATTTTGGTGGTTTCGAGAAAATTTAATTTGAAAGAAGGAAGAAAAAAATTAAGATCCGTTTTTGTTTGTATTTTTAGGAAGTCCGTAGCAGTTTCTATAGTCAAAAACTCAAAATTGAGAAGATAAAAATTATCATAAAATCGTATAGAATAAAATATTATAAAAAATAAATTAAAAATAAATATTCTTATAAAAAATTAATTTTTTAACCTTATTTGGTAAATTAGCTTTTTAATTCGAGTTCAGCATGTTACACGGAATTAAGACGATTTGGGAAATTAGCACGCGGCTGTTTGGGCATTAAAAAGCAAATTTACCCCTTATTTTAAGTTTTTAACCAATAATTAAAAATTTAAAGTTAAAGATGATTTATTTTTAAGTAAAAATACCAATGTCTTCATTATTGTACTGCTGGTGTTCCAGTTATTTCTTCTTTTTTTTTTCGCGCGTTTTTATGATAGTTGCGTAATTATACATTATTTTTTTTACTTTTGATCTCTGACCATCCCGGGCGTAGAACGTTAATTTTCATTAAATTTTAACTAAAAAGTTTTAAGTAAAAAGTATACTTTTCACAAAATCCAGTTCATGAAACATTGAAACATATGTAAGATAAATATTGTTAAGTAAGAGATTAATTTTTTGGTAATATTTTTCGTCTAATGACGGTTCGAGGTGTCGATTTTTTTTTTTAAATACCTAAAAAAAAAAAAACCTTATATACGGAAATTAATTTTGCATTTTATTTAGGATTAGCGGGGCTATCATCTTTCAATTTATTAAAGCGAAATTTAAAGCGATTTTTCTGTGTACCAACTACCCAAAGAGTAAAGACTAACTCATCAACTAAAGACTATTTGTTCGTCATTTTTTGACTCTTAAATTATTAATAATAATGTACATGTTTGTAAATACAAATGAATTTTTTATTTAACACAACAGGCACACTCTTGTTTTCTTTATTTTTATGTTATCTAAGAAAAAAAAAAAGGCACATTGTCCATACTTTGTTTTAAATCCTAACGCCTCTTTTAGGAACAATTAGAAAGTCAGAAACTTAAAAATTTTGGCAATTTCATCAAATATATCGAAGTCTGAAAAATGAGTAAATTAAAAACTAAAAATGCAAGCTATTACTTAAATAAAATTATTACTAATAAAAACTAACTAGGATATTTAAATCCTCATCTGACATACAAGTTGACTTTGACAAATATCAAAGTTTTGTAAAGCACCGTCTCATAAAATAAACCTTACAGATCGACAACAGTTGTAAAAAAAACTTTGTAGATTTTTTGTGTTTGTAAAAATAATTGTTCAAACTTAAAACCACACCCAGAAAGCAGGGACCTAAAAAAGAACAAACGAGTAACATGCCAAAAAGTTAATAATACCGATTTTATAAAGATAACCAATACAAGCTTCTTTTTAAAATCAAAATTATTTCATTTACACTACAGTTTCTAGGATGAAGAAAATTGAGAAAATCGCAATCAGAAAGGAGGATGTTACATGCCAAATGATTTTGTTGTTTAAATTTGTTGCTATGGCACATTTGTTTTTGTAATACACTCTCTAGTGTATTACAAAAAATGGGCCTTAGAAATTTTTTTTAAATCCCCCGACCAAAAGTAAACATAATTGTATTAGGTTAAAGTAGGTGATACAATATGTAAAAAAAAAAATACAAACCTTAACATCTTGTCTTTGGCGATTCTACAGTGACGTAGACTGTCAAGATTCGAAGTAACAATGGCGCACTTACAACTTCTGGGCTGATTAAGAGTGGGGTGGTTACTTTTTTGCGAAAGCGGAAGTTAACGATTGAAACTGCCTGAAAATTTATATACTCAGATAATTTTATGGTTCAAAAAAGTTTTATATTAATTTTAGCTTAATTATTTAAAAAAACAACCCAAAACTACAGAATAAATTAAATTCTAAATAAAAATGTACACATTTTTACTGTTAGTTAGTATTTATTTTTCACAGCACACTCACGACACTAACTAATAATGTGACTCAGGGTTTACTTTTAAAAAGTGGTTTTAACGGCAATATCTTGGAAAAATTGTTTGTTCTTTTTTAGGTCCCTTCTTTCTGGGTGTGGCAATATCTTGGAAAAATTGACATTATCCTCTTTCATGGGGGGTGGCGGACGCCTCAAGCACCGGGCAATAAACAGAGCCTCCCCCTTCTCCAAAATGTGAAGTATTATTTTTTTTAAAAGTGTCACACTGCAATGTTTTTTTTTTTTTTTTACTTTCGTTTTAAATTGGTTAATAAATATAAAAAGAAAAATGAAGAAAATTTTTAAATCTACTAATTTGTTTTTGTTTTTTTTAACGATCTTGATATTCAATTCTTGTTGAAAGTTGTTTTAGAAAAAGATAAAGTAATTTTACAGTTGATGGGAATATTCTAAAAATTGATTTTACTACAACGTATTTAATATGAAACCGAACGTTAGCAGGTTTCCTCAATCAACGTAATTGTAATATTTGTAAACCCTTGAACCTTTATTTTGCATCTGCATAAAAAATTAATGACTATTTATTTCAGGTAAGAAGCCACATCATTGTGTAGTATTTTTTTTTTTTTAGTTATTTTAAACTAAACAGTGATAGACGTCTCAAAGAAGTGGTAAATTTCTGAAGGCAACAAAAAAGTCATGTGGATTTAATTAAATCATTTAATGCACAAAAAGTTCTGAATATTGCATTTAGTTCAGTTGAGAAAATTTTACACGTAGTTATTTATTTGTTTAGAAAGAAAAGTTGTCACGAGGCAAAAGTAGATATTCTGAGAAAGGGAATAATCGATGTTTCTTTTCCAAGAACTCGTTAAGTTTCGTTTCACTGAATCACGGAAGGAATTAGTCATAAATAAATGAGTTTGATTTTCGTTAGGTTTTTTTAATAATTTCTAATGATGAAAAGAGTAAATTTAACCAGTTTTAAAAATAGATGCAAATAAGTTTTTTGTTTTTCGATAGATTTTTCGTAATTCAGTAAATGACATAGACTTTGATAAATAATCAGTTTTAATCTGTAATTAATAGCAATCAAAATTCAAAACTGTTCCTAATATGTACGGTAAATTTTCACTTTGTTTCCCGAGCGTTAATACATTTTTATTTATTTTTTAGTTCATTTTTGTGAATAGTTACTATTCAATAGTATTACGGTACTTCATGCAAAAATCAATGTTTATTTCTTGCATGTATTTTTTTAAATGGCTTCTACATTTTAAATAGTAAAATATTTTTATTTTATTTATTTTCCACTCTAATTAAAAGTTTTATGTTTCATATGTTTTTTTTTTTAAAAAAAAATTAAAATAATTAATTATTGTAGGAAGATGCATCATGAATTCAGGAAAGGACCCAATGTTTTAAAACATTTTTTTTTTCTTAAGTAGTTCAACAACCATGGTTCAGTAAAATTAATATTTTTGTTTAAAAATCATTTCACCCCCAAGCAATGCGAGAATGCAGCTAGCTGCTAGAGTACGAAGGGGCGGTGGGTACAAAAATAAAAGTGAAAGTAAAGAGAAGACTGAGAATAGGGAGGATTGAGGAAAGGAAAAACGGGATTCAAGTTTTTGAATATTCATTCATTTGTTTTTTTTTGTTTTTTTTTAAATAAAAAAAATCCATGAAACGAAAACGATATTGCAAAAATAGATGAATTTTTGCATAATGATGAATTTTTTTATAATCATCCTTTATTTTCAAAAAGTCATTATTTGGCTAGTGAAGAAATGTATAGTCATGCAATTATAGGAATGTTTTCAAAAGCAACAGTAAAAACTAAAAAATAATTTCTTTTTGCCAATTTAAAAATGCAACAAAAATATTGGGCTGTATTTCCATTTTCTGTCTGTCTTCTTTCAATTTCTTCCTTCTCAGTAGGGAGGTTCTTTGCCTAGCACCCAAGATGTCCCCCCAACAAAAAAAAAGAAGTACCAAGGAGGCTTGAGCAAATTTTCTCCCCAGTTCAAGTGGACTAGCAACTTATGATGTCACATTCCCCTTGAGTGGATGTGTAACTAAATACACAGTGACACCCAACTGAGCAGTTTGGGCGTGTTTTAATATGGTTATGTAATTGTGTTGGAGATAGGCTGATTTATTAAGCAATTACCCACATACCAATATTAAAACGTGCTCAAACTTGAAACCACATATTTTTTTCTGTGGGCCAGCAGTTTAAATGTCTTTTCTAAATTACAGATATTTCTGTGTACCAACTACCCAAAGACTAACTCAACTAAAAAAGACTATTTGTTCGTCATTTTTTGACTCTTTTGAATTAATGTACATGTTTGTAAATACAAATGACTTATTTAACAGGCACACCCTTGTTTTCTTTATTTTTATGTTATTTTTTAGAATTTGAATGTTTGGATTTTTAATATAAAAAAATCTGAACAACTGAATTTCTTACAACTCCTGAATTTTACTAATTTTCTGCTAAACTAGTATGTTTTTAATATTTTAATGAGATTTTTAAAATTTCTTAAATTTCCTATCTTTATTTTTCATCTAAAATGACAAATCAATAAATTGAACAATGTTTTAAAAAATCCCTTAAAACATTATTGAAATAGTTTTTTTTTGTTTTGTTTTTGTTTTACGGATTAGCTTTCAAATAAAATCAAAAATTACCAGAAAGTAAACGTTTGTGAGATATCATCAGAGATTTTTTTTGTAGTTGTAAAGTATGAATTATTAATATGTGTTTTACAATTTACACCAAGAAAATGTAAACTTTTGGTGAATTTTGCATGAATTATCTCAAATAAATGTGACGTTGTTCATTGCAAAAGGAATAATAAAAGATGTTTAATGAATACAACACCTGAGTTAACAATGAAGACCAGCATCTCCCGCATTTCAACCCTATGCCCCTTATTTTAGGAGCAAAGACTTTATTAAATGATTAAGTGTTCAGATGGGACTTTTCTCAATATGTCTTGATTTAAGCCTATTTATGGTAATGCTATGTCTGGCTCAGGGTAATAAAAAATAGAATGTTCTGGAAAAGAAAGGTGTTCTGTTACCACAGTACAGAGCCTCTATTTCATTTTGTTTGTTCCCTTTTTAGTTTGGTAGATTTTAGATTAGTCATCATTTTTATGACTTCCTGTTTTTAGCCCAAATAATGACTGGAACTGGCACAATAAAGTACAGGCTCAAAATATGAAGTTTATTTTCTTATCTTCCTGCATAATTAACCCCAATGATAGAATTGTCAGTATGTACCTTCATTACTTTTTTCTTCAAGCATTGGTCTCTCTTATGTTATTACTTAAACATTTGTTTAAGGTAGCCACCTTTTATACATTTATTTTACTGTTGTATTTTTCTCTGTGTAGAACCCTTTTCACCACATATTGATTGTTAACACACCATTCTCAAACTGACTTTCTTCCTTTCTGATAACTTACACTGCAACAATGTAATATATTCCTGTAGCAAATGACTTTCTATGTTATTTATATCCATTCAGTTATATTCAGTTTTCATCTTTGTTACATTTCTTCTTCCCCTACCGATTATATTTGTACAGTACAACTCCTCTAAACTGAACATCCAAGATGTTTGGTATTGAGGATACTGTTCGAATTCAAGGAAGAAAAGGCTGTTGTGGCAAGCTTAAAATTTTTATTAAGTTTTAGAATTGAGGAAACAAAATGTACTTTGTAATGTTGATTCATTTTTATTTGAAGTGTAGATTGAATACATTAATGTACAAAAAATAATTGACAACCAATATTAATAAAAACATTTGTGCTAAAAACAAATATTGTGATTTGTGAAAAACTAAGACACTTTATGAAATGTCTAAAAATTTATGAAAATTATAAATTTATTATTCGTCCATTGTCAGATCTTCCTGAATTTTGCTGTCTTCTTCATTTGCATTCATGGCAGTTGTTTCTATGGTGCTGTTGACACAAGTACAACATTCTTTCACTTTACAAGGAAGAAAAGGCTTCATATTTTATGTCAATATAAAAGTTTGGATTTGAAGATGAGTCTAAATTTGAGGAAGTCTAGATTATGCTATGTTCAGTTTTGAGGAGTTCTACTGTATTTCTTTTTTTTTTTTTTTTTTTTTTTTTTAACTCTTTTGACCTTTAATAAACCTACTATTGAATAGGGCTTTTTCTTCAGAGTTTAAAATTGCTGTTTAGACATTTTATCTGAATGTCTTATGTATGCACACATGTGAGACAGATGCCTACCAGGTGGTAGAACAAAATGATTGAGAATGAAAAAAATTTTCCTTTGGATTATTTTCTACCAATAAAAAGAATGAGATTTCAAACCTGTGATAATTTGAAAAGCTAACTGAGTGAACCTGGTGACTTCAATGTAAACAAAATCATTAAAATTACAGTTCATTCATACATCAAGTCGAATAGCCACAGACATGTAGACAACCATAACAATTAACATTTACAGCTGAGAGCCAGAAGATTTCAAAATGGCCAACTAAGTCTGAACAACATAACCAAAACTAACAATTTGTTCTGAATTTACTCTCAAGTATCGCAGACCAAACCATTATCACATAGCTACTACCAAAATTCCTCAATCGGCTTCCCTCAATAACAACATTCTTTGCTACTGCTATGTTTGACTTCAACTGCTGATAGGTCAGAACATTTTCAACTACAAGAGAACTTTTCA